TTTGCTAGGTTTTTTTTTGGGGGGGGGGGGGTTGTTTTGTTTTCAACCATGTTTGAAGATGAATTTTCATGCATCATTTTCTTCAACTAGATTAATATAGGCTTCAAGCATAGTTTACTGGGCAAACAGGCTTATAGCACTTCAGAGCCAGCAAACTCTTATTCCAGAAAAGCATTCAGATCTAGCTATGCTAGAGCCGTGTGAATAGCCTCCATCACTACAATTGCACAGGCTTAGCTACTGCTGCTGTCTTGATTGGAAATTTAAGTAAGCCATGGCTGTGAGACCTGTTGCTAAGTACACAGGAAAAGGAGTCAAACTGAGGTGTGAACATCTTTCAGCAGAACTAGTGGAGGAAAAATACTGTTCAACTCCTCATGGGATTGCAGAAGTCACTACAGGGAAGATGCTTCAAGGAATAAACAAGAGTTCAATTGTTCTATGAAGGAAGACTTGACCTGTTTTAAAAGTAGTTTATCTACTTCCAAGTCCATAAGCACATGGTGTCTTTAAAGGTTGTGGGGCAAACTTGTACAGTGGTATTAAATCGAAATAAATCTGGTACTATTTTTTTTCTTCCCAAATTAACTTTAAGCATAAGTACTAGAAGCCCTGCTATAATAACTTATGTAAGTAAATTTAGCATATTTATGTATGCATTCCTTTCTCCTGCAACTTCTTCCCTGCTTCCAAAGCATTGGGAGGTGGGGCAGGGAATGGGATGGGACATCACTGCAGCCCTTTGCAGCTTCTGAAGTTTACCCAACAGAAACAGAGTACTAAGCACATAGTTGGCCAAGACTGCTTTTCCTTGTATGAAAATCCCTCCCTTGCCTACAACTTTTCTGGCTAGGTGTGGTTGAGACCTTCCAAATAAAAGTTATGAAATACCAGCTGCACACAGTACACAAAGGTTGTCTTCGCCTCCACTAGGAAAGCCATTCTTTTACAATAGCTACACTATTATTTTCTTCCTAAACATAGGTTTTATATTTACAAGATACAAAAAAAAATGGCTACCAACCTGTAAAATATTCTGCTGTGTTCAGCAGTTTTAAAGGGTGGGGAGAAGAAAGGAGTCTACCTGCAAATGAGGTCTCCCTCTAACTCTTGAAAGTTATGAGAAATAAGACTTCTTCAGGCCCAAGACCTCACAGTGCATCACATTCTCCTCCCCAGTGTTGTACTTGCATTAAACTGGCTTCTGGTATAAATAAGGTCAAGCTGAGCTACTGCTTTTACATGCCCATTTGTGACAGCTTTTTCTGAGCTTAACATTTCAGAAATTCAGGTCGGGCTAAGTGCCTGGTGCATTTAGCAGAGTCTAAACAGCATAAGCAAGTGAACTTAACACCCAGTTTGAAACCAGGCCTACCTTCTCATGAGTCTGCTCGGCGAACCGAGGCAGAAGTAAATGTAATTTCTCCTGCAATGCCATAGCTTCCTGCAAAAGGATTTGCTTGCTTATCACCTGAGCCCCTCTTAGCAGACATTACATCATCCAGGGGTATGGCAACTGAAAGAAAAACTGGGGTTGGTGGTCTGGCAGTTTCCTGTGCAAAATTAGTATCGGGTTTTGGCGTGACTGTTTTTGGATCAGCTGCTCTGGCCACGGGTATAGGTACTGTGGTGAATCTCCTCGCAACGCTAGCATCTTGCTGTGCAAGCACAGCATGGCCGGGAATAGATTTCCAGTCCTGTACGTTCTGGACAGTAGAGCCCACCAAAATGAAAGGCGGTGCATTTCCCCGCTTGCTTTCTTCAGTCATCACATAAGTTGGAGAGGATACTTGTTGTTGACCTTGTGTCATCTGCTGCTGTAGGACCTGTTGTTGCTCTTTCCCACTAGATATATAGAGGGTTGCTTGGGGATAAGGAGCACCACTTCCCACAGGAGGAAGGGGTGGTGGTGACTTTCGACCTTGTTGACTCAAATCAGTTAGACAATAGAGAGTCCACACATTAGAATATGGTGGTGGTTGTCCTGCTTCGCTTGTTGCCATTGCTATAAAATAAAAATTTAAGAAATAGCTGGTATCAGGAGCTATGAATGGCAAACATATAAACACGTTGTATGCTTGGACTTGCAATACTTACAAATGCCATAAGAAAGCATGTCCGAGAAGGTGGTTTGGTGGCAAATGGGGCTGAAATGAAGTATTGCATTGTGGAAACATGATGCTGCATTTGTGGGCCAGGAGGTGCTTCAAATCCCTCACTTCACAAGCTACTAATGTTCTAGAAATTTCCCTGATGACTGGCAACTTTGCCAAGCCAAGGGTAAAGTTGATAGTTTTGTTTTAAACATAAAACTTTTCCAAATAGAAAGATGCTGCGACATCCGCAATGATATGCAGCAGCATCTTAAAAGAAGCTTCAAAGCAGAATTCAAGCCAGAAAGTTTCCAAGCAACTGGAAGTGGGAACTTGGACTGAACCAGCTCCTTCACACCAGAACTACAGCACCATGCCACAGGATACAATGCTATTCCTGATTTCAGCCACATAGGCTCTTTTGTCTTAATGAAAACACTCTTCTGTATCATGCTTTGATAGGACTTACCACCTCTACTCTGCTTGGGGCTTTGGGAAGAGGCTGAGAAGGGTATCTGCAGTAGTAAGAGGAATCAGGCAGACGGGTGACACTGGAGGGCTTCTCCAGCTGAGATTGGGGTAGGCAAGCTGGGCACTTGTCCCAGAGGGAGGACTCAAGGGTTGTGCTAGGAAAAGAATCTGGTCAAGGTGCTTATCAGTAGGAATTTGTACAAACTGCACCTCACCAAAAAGTGACAGACCTCTTGCCATCTGCAGCAACCCTGCCAACCCTCGGTGGACTGGTCCTAGTGCACCCACCCCCATCTCATCTGCGGAAGTTCTCTTGACCCAGAGGACAGCGCAGGCAACCACCACCATTTCTTGTTTTAAATGCAAAACACCTATGTTAATGCAACTGCTGGGACCTTAAATCTTGCAAAGTGAGGACATCTGAAACTATGGACACCATTAACCCTTCTGCAGCCACAGGGCATGTGTATTACATCTTAGATTCTCTGACATCTGCTTCAAAATGCGTGGCTTGTCTTGAACAAAACTCATCCCGGTTGAAAGGAAATGGCCACCACCTGCTGCTTGGCATTTGCACTCCCCACAGTGGCGCCTGTAGTGTCACCTGTCCTTCAAGGCCACAGCAAATCAAGTGGGAACCTGCAAACCCCTGTCTCTGCAGCAGGGCATATTAATGCAGGAGCAGCACTCTGTCTTGCTCATAACCAGTCACACATCTTGGAACAAATCGCAGAGAAAGATCTAATACATGTGCACTGAGGCTGATGACTGCTGTTGTGGCCCATAGCTCTCTACGTGCCCCAAAGCCAGAAAGTTTGGTCTCTACCATGCACAGTACTGACATAGGTGCTTTCACATTTAACAGCTACCTCACAAGTTACACAGTTGCTAGAACCTGGAACAGGAAGTTGACAAACATCTGACTTTCTTACCTGATATAACATAACCTGGTTCAGCTGATGCCTTTTGCACTGTAGTTTCCATTCCTTCAGGGTCACATTCTGCATCGACTGCAGATGGATCTAAGATTTTAGTGCATATAAACTGGCCTGCATTTAGTGGGTGCTGAATCTCTAAAAGACCAGCTACTTGGTCTATAAAGGGAATTACTATTTTCTGCGGAAACTGCTCTATGTAAGGTGGAACCTCTCCTTCAGTAACAGGCTCCTCCTCATCATTATTCATTGGCAGAACCTGAATGGTTGATGTAACTTCAATTTCGTTGGGGGAAGGTGCAGCCTGCAATGGATCATCAGGAGGAGGTGGTGGGGAAGGTGGAGGTGGTGGTTCTTCCTGCAAGGGGATTGAGGGAGCGTGGTTTGTATCACTGGCTGATTGTTCAACCTGACTGCCTGAGGAACCTAGCTCTCTGGGCATGGAGGACTGACTCTGAACACTGGACGCTGACCTAACTGACTCTGCAGAACCCTCAGCTGCTGGGACAACTGTGGCATCTTCAGCAGCCCCTTCTATTGGCACAGCGGTTGTGTCCTCTGAGCTCATAGACACTTCAGGAAGAGTCTGCACGCTTGTTGCCACATCCTTCAGAGAATGAAGTGAATCACTGTTACCTAACAACTGTGCAGCAAGCTGGGCAGGATCAGCTGGGACATAAGCAAGGTCAGGTCCCTTAGGGGATGAAGGTTCAGGTCCCGTTGGGGACGATTCATTTTCTGTAAGTTCATTGTGAGTTGATGGGTATTGTGTCGTTTTGGCGCTACAGTCAGCTACAGGTCCTTCAAGGAGTTGGTCCTCCTCAGTGTCAGTAGATTTTTCCTTCCGTTTTGGTTCATCAAAAAGTGGAGATGCCACATTTGCATCTGGCGTAAACTTGTCTCTAGCCTCAGTTTTCTTCTCTGATAGTCTCTCAGCCAAGCCATCTACTGAGAAGAGCAAAATGAAAGGAAGTTAGCAAGCGTCTTCACTGACACGAAACGCAAGAATTGTTATTGCCCTGGGGAATTCCTCATGCACAACCTGTCAGTACAACACTTCATTTAATCACTACACTGAATTTATCAAGCCCTTCTGGATCTGAGACATCAAACAATTTTCTTACTTTCTTGTGCGTGGATGGAAAATAAAAGCAGCAGAAAATGAAAAAAATTAGTGATAAACAATGACAAACTCTTTTCAACTACCTAGTGGTAAATACCTTCCACCCCACAGTACAAAAACATGGGAAGTAGTCAGCAAAAAAGCTGAATCCTCTTTCCAATAGTAGATCAGTCCAGCTAATATAAAGATGCTTAGCAGTCAAGTTACAATTTGCTTTGGCCTAAACCTAGTTTCTCAAAATTCTTTTGGATTCACACAAGTTCCTTTGGATGTACACATTGCATCAGCATCCATGTCTCCATCTGAAAACATGCTGTAAATCTGGTGTGCATGGCACTTACAAAAAGTGTGACGGTGATGGGTCAGAGGGCCATCGTACTTGAGCAAGCTTTGGATGGCGTGATGGAGGGAGATGAGATCCAGAGGGGCTTTGAAGAAGGAAAGAGCAGGAGCCCTTCAGTTTGTTACTTCAGGACCGTCGGACTCTACACTATGCTGCTTCCTTTCAGTTCTTAGACCCGCACAATGTACTAATGCATACTCACAGAACACCAGCTCAACTGCTCCTCAGTGCTTTAAGTTCCTCTTAACCTGAGCCAGGAACATTTTCAAAGCTCTTCTCCTTTGTGTCCAACCCTGCTGTGAGAACCCAAAGACCATACTGCTCTCAAGAATCTGTTACAGGCTTTGTGACACTGCTGAGAGTAAAGGAATCTTTGGTTCCCACATTTTCTCCTCTGTTGTCACTCCACAGTCCCTCTGCACTAGCTGTTTATTACCACCCTCCCAGCAATTCAGACAGTTATGAAGGCTCCTCCTCAGTCCTTTCTCCAGACTAAACCACAGCAGTTTTTCTGAGTTTGTCCTCCAAGATGTATTTCCCATAGTCTAACAGTCTTTGTTGCTCTCCACTAGACTCCTTCTAATCTGTCAACCTCTCCCTTGTAAGTGTGGGGCCCAAAATTGGACACACTACTCTAAGTGAGGTCTTAAAAGCATTTCCTGTGATATGCAAGTGACACTCCTATAGAGCCCTGCCCCCATTGCTGACTAGGTTGTACTGCAACAAAAGCACACTCCTGGCTCACACTCAGTTTATGGTCTGCTATAATCCTAGGTCCTTCTCTGCAATGCTGCAGCCTAGTGTCTGTGCATCCAACTGTTCCATCCCAAATAAAGGACTTTGCACTTGGTTTTGCTGAATTTCATCCAACTGATTTCAGACCCTACCCCCCCAGGTGTCATCTGCAAATCTATTAAGTGTGCATTCACTTCCATCCTCCAAATCATTAATGAAGATAAACAATACCAGACTCATGACAGACCCTCGGGAAACTCAAATTTCCAAACTTCATTATGTAAGAAAAAAGATATAACCTACATGGTGCCTAAGCTGCACCTACTTCTACTGCTGCAGCTTGTGTGAAGACTTAAGGAAGCCGCTGCAGCAGTCAGCCACATTGGCATGTCAATAAAGCACCTTTTGGCACTGTTCAGGAGCTTACAGTGTGAATGGAAAGTTGCACCCAAAGAGCTTTGCCCTGTAGATCAAGCCCTGTTCTTAAGCACTCTTGCTCAGTGTGACTTGTTCACATCAGCGAGGTGTATTCATGTCCACTCAAGTTTGAAAGATTCCTCTGCATCAGGAAGCTATGGACACACTACACCGTCACTTAAAGCGCAGCGTGCGGTGCTTTGCAAGGTGGCACAGGGTGACTTTTCTTACCTCGAGCAAAATGAAACTCTCTCACCAGGTCGATGATGTCCACGTTTGGGTGCTCTGAAAACAGAGGGATGCATTAGCACAGAGTCTGAGCAGCTGTGCGTGAGCTCAGATCACAACGCAAGGGAAGCGCAAGCCAACAGGGGCGGGCACAAACCTCCTCTGAATGCAATGAGCTCTCGAAAGTAGAGCGCGGCGAACTCGGGGATGTTGCTTGGGTTGCATTTGAGTATGGCCCTGGTCAGGCCCTCCAGGAGAGTCTTGAGGCCGTAGGGGACGACCAGCCTGGGCTTCGCCGTGTACATCTTTGGCAACTGCAGGCCAACGACAGTCTCGCAGCTGCTGGGAAGAGGGTAGGGATCTCTCTGGCACAGCCTCCAAAGCCCTAGTGTGTGTGTGGTGGGGGGAGGGGGGGCGTGGCGTCATCACAACTGCTGCTAACCTCACTGTGATGTCATAGCCCTAGCCCAGCCCTCAGCCGCAAACACCCACCAGGATGAACCAAGGGCATGGAGGGCGGTCCTCCCACCCCTGCATCCCTCCCTCAGCCCCTTGGCTCGGGAGGGGGCGAGACCCAGGAGCAATGGGGGTCTACTAGAGCTCCTGCGAAGCCCTGAGCCAGGGCCCGAGGACCCCCCGCCACCGACCGCACCTTCCTGCTTCGCGGCTGCTCCGAAGCTCCCTCCGCGCTCCTCGCAGGAGCCTCTGAGGGAGAGGAGCCCCCCGCGGGGCCTTTTATAGGGGGGGTCACGCCATGACGTTGCACCTGTGGCGTCACAATGATCTGAGAAGGTCATCAATGAAAGGGGCGTGGCCGCGCCAGGGAGCCAGCCAATGAGAAGTCACAGCGTCGCGTTCCGCGGCGAGGGGCTGCGGCTCTGGGGCGGGGAGGAAAAGTCTTCTAGCAGCCCCTCCCTCCAGAGCAGGGGTCTCCCGCGTGCCCTCGGCTGCCCTGCCAGCCTCTCCCGGCGGCCGTGGGGCCGACCTGGTCACACAGTCAGTCTAGAGCTTCCAGCTCGGAGCCCCTGGGGTTAGGAACAGCCGACCCTGCTGGGTCTTTCGGAGGGCTTCGCAAGAGAAGAATGGCTCTAGTCTTGCAGGCAGAAGCAGGAGAGAAAGCTAAGAGCTGGCATTGTCAGGGAGGCTTTGAGTCTTTAAAAAAAACGTTTTTTAAATTGAGCACTGATGCAGGCGCTTACCCCACAAGTCCAGTGCATTCCTGCCCTGCTGCAGGCTCTCCCTCACCAGAGCGCACCTAGAAGCAGAAGACTGAGCTTGAAAACCCATCTGACTTTCACAGCATCTCCCCACTTCCTCCTCCTCTGAGCCTGCCTAGCTGCTCTCACATACTTTACAACTGCTGCGTCCCTTGGATCATTTTGCCATTCAAACACTTGTCCTGTTTATAGAAGTATATGCCAAGTCCCTGCATAGAATCCATCGCCCCGGCGTGGAAAGCCAGGCGTTTCTAATCAGACCTCTGCCAGGGTACATGCTGCCGTCTTTCTTTTAGCAAATAAGCTTCTGAAGTCTGATGCAAGTCTTGATCAATAAAAACTGACAAAGGCCAATGTTTGTTTGTTTTTCTACAGCATGTGTTGCAGTGGTTCAGCCTTTCTCCCTTAAATGTGTATCTGGCTGGTAGCACTTGGAGCTAGCATTTAAGCCTGCAAACCACCTAGGGTGTGAAATGTTTCCACATTCTTATCTGGGAATGAAGGAGATAAAGAAGAGTAAACGAATTTTAAAGTCAACTTGCTGAAAGTCAGGTCCTTGTAACAGTCTTAACCAATAAACACTCCAGTGTTAGGTGTTTGACCTTTCTTAGAAAAAATTTAATTGGTGATATTTTAAAAGATTGTAGCAATTTAGACTAAGTTGGTTATTTCCATTCAAACCCTCAATGCATTTTAGGGTAAGAAAGTTGTAATTTTTTAAGCAGTTTAACTCTCCAACCAATGTTGAAATGCAACATGGTGAACTCTGCTAGTAGGAATGAATTCACAAGCTACCAGTGCGATCACAAAAATACTGCTACAGTGTAAGTATATGATTAGGACACTCATATTTTGAAAATTAACTTAATATCAACATAAACTTAACCAAACTTTGGCCACTGGAGTTAGATCATGTTGGCTTATCAAACCATAGAAAAGATTATATGAAGTAGCTTTAACTCTTAACTCTTGCAAGAAAAATCAATCAGTTAAGTTTCATTTTTTATTGGTTAAAATTGGTTAAATTCTAGCCAACAGCAGAAGCTATATTTAATTCATTTAAACAGAATTATATTAAAAAAATAAAGTTTGCTATTTGCATACTTTATATGTGCAATATGACCTCATGATTGCAATTGAGAATAAAAAGTCAAAAGATCTGGTGCCTGTCAGGAATTCTGAGACCTTGGGTAAATAGCACGTTCCAGTTATGCAGCTACTCCTTTCTTAATGCCGCAGTTACGTTCTTGAAAAATGAGACTTTAAATGAAACAATGTTAAGCAAATCCAGTTACATCACAGTAGTTACCTACTAACAGGCAGTGGCCAAACAATGCTTTTCATAGTTTCAGTTTCATAGTTTCTAGGGTCAGAAGGGACCTGAACAGATCATGAAGTCTGACCCTCTGCCCTGGGCCAGAACAAGTGCTGGGATCATAATACCCCAGATATATCTGTCCAAACTCCTCTTGAAGCCCCCCCCAAGGTAGGAGAGAGCACCACCTCCCTTGGGAGCCCATTCCAGAGCCTGGCAGCCCTAACTAAAGTAATGCCTCTTAATATCAAGCCTGAATCTGCTCTCAATCAATTCGCGACCGTTATTCCTTTTTGTCCCAGGTGGTGCCCGGGGGAACAGAGCCTCACCTATTTTCCGCTGGTCCCACCTGGTGAGTTTATAGATGGCTACCATATCTCCTCTCAGACTTCTCTTGTGTAGGCTGAATATATTCCGGCCCTTTAGTCCATATTCGTAGGGCCTGCCCTGCTGCCCCCAGACCATGCAAGTGGCCCTCCTCTCAATGCTAGCCACATCCCTCTTGACGTGCGGCACCCAGAATTGGACGCAGTACTGCAACTGTGGTCTGACCAGTGCCGCATAGAGGGGAAGGGAAAGGATCACCTCCCTGGACCTGCTTGTGATGCATCCGTAGATGCACGAAAAGGTGCAGTTAGCCTTATTGATTGCTTTCACGCATTGGCAGCTCATGTCCATCCTGGAGTCAACAATGACTCCAAGATCCCTTTCAGCCACTGTGTTGTTGAGAGGGGTGGTCCCCAGCCTATAGGCATGTTGCAGGTTCCTCCTCCCTAGATGCAGCACCTTGCACTTGTCTGCATTAAATTCCACCCTATTCTCATCTGCCCACCTCTGTAACCCATCTAGATCTAGCTGGATTCTGTCCCTCCCCACCAGTGTGCCCACTTCTCCTCACATCTTTGTGTCATCAGTGAATTTGGACAGCGTGCTTTCCACACCCACCTCCAAGTCGCTGATAAAGATGTTGAATAGCACGGTCCTGAGGACTGAGCCCTGGGGAATTCCACTGGCCATGTCCCTCCAGGTTGAAAATGACCTGTCCACCACCACTCTTATAACTTAACATAGCGCGACTTTAAACGAGTATGTTCTTGAATAGATCAGCAACGTAATAATAAAACAATGTTAACTGGGACAACATTAAGTGAGGCGTACCTGTATTACAAATTTAGCTGTATTAAAGGGATGTTATGTACACATTGTTTCTGAAACCATGTTCAGCTATAGCTCTAGTCAGCAATTAATACCTTCTCCCATACAGAAAGGGCCTTTAAGACCTTTCTCCCTGGCATAATTCGTGCACCATTCTTTAAAACATCTTTCACAATGGGCTTAATATTCACAAGGCCAAGTTCTCCCATCGCTCTCTCAAGCAACTCCCTATTGAAGTACACAGGACTGCATGAAGAAGCAGCGGAATGTGACCTGTATCAGGGACAACTTCCACTGCAGCTGCTTGGGACTGCAGTTTTTCCTAGTCCACACTAGCAGCAACTGCATGCTGATGTTCTTGATCATTTAAAGTTCCAGCAACACAACTACAAGTAATATCATCTGATGAAATTTTTCCAAAGCCTGTTTAAATTTGAGCTCCTGGAAGAAATTATTGAAGTCAGAAGGAGAAAATACAACCTCAGAAGCTTGCTGCTGGAGGAAATCCTTAGGTAAAAACAGCACCCAGAACACAAGAATCTTCATAATAGGTTAAAAGAAACAATGACTTGTCTCCTGCTGCTGTGCTCCAAGGTTCCTATATTTATATGAGGACTTGGCAGGAATTGCTACAACTCAAGTATAACCTGCTAGATCCAGTAACCATTGTTCACCATTTCTGCTGAAGTATTTTGGCTGCCCACAGCAATCAGTTCCTTTCAAATACAGATGTCAATTCAAAATTCAGAACCTTCAAAGTGGTGTGTTTGAGGGTACTTGCCTGGTGGCCCACTGAGAAGAATCTCTCCAGAGAAAAACAATTACAGGTAATTAATTAGCCCTTTTAAAAGCAAGAAGCCCTTGAGGACTAAATGCCTAGATTAAATTTGAAAAAAATCACCATGTCAAAATAGAAACAGTACATAGCACAATTATATCTTTGTCATGGGCAAATATAAAGTGCATCTTGCTTGCAATCATGCTTCACATTTATGTTATAAAAATACTTATTATAGTAATATAATGAAATATTTTGAATTCCCAAGTGTGTCTCAAAGAAAAGCATTTAACTATTGAAGCCAGCAGTGAGAAAATAAAGTGTGAGCAAACCATGACTGACGTGTTAGAATAAGCAGAATAACATTACACCCAAAATATATTTGAGGACTACCAAAATTGATAATACTATAAAGAAAATTCTGGGGACAGGATGGCTAGGTTTATATCTACCTACTCTTTATCTGGATTTCAATTTAGAGGCCAAAACCAAGTAGAAGATTTAGTGAAGATATGCGTGCAGAAAATACTGTTATGGCTTGTAAGTGTTCTGTATGAACACAGATCAGAAGTTACCTGAGGTAGTAGATTTACCTTTTGCAGCACACCTTTACATGGCTTTCAGATAATGACCACTGCAAACAGACAATTTAAATATGGATATCAGAAACAGCAAATCCATTAGTATCAGCTGAAACAAAAGGCTTGCTGGATTCAGAAATAGGCTTCTATAATACCTAGTAAAGACCTGTTCAGGTTATGCTTGAGATGAAGTGCATTCGACAGGCTGAGCATGTGCCCAGTGGGAAAAAGTTGTCAGAATAACATCCAAAGTGAAACTCCCAACACCACTTCAGAAAGTGTCCAAAAATTTTTTGTACTACCTTTACTTCGGAAGTTAAGTAAGTGCAAACTGGATGAGATACTTGGGTCCAAAATACACTTATTCCACAAGGTGAACTTCTGACCTCCAGAAAAACCTAGCTTTATCTGAAAGAAACCTGAACCCATAGGATTAAGTAATTCAAAAATAACAGCAGAAAAATTTAGATACCAGCTTATTTAAGACAACATCAAGACATGTTTACAAACAGTCACCACAGCAAGTCCAGGAGAGCCATCAGAAAGCATGTCCTGTCCCTAAGTGGGAGCAAGCAGACAAGACAAAGCTTAGAAATTAGGCAACGTTATCCATTTACCAAAGCCCTGACCACCCCCCAAGAAGTGTCCCAAGACAGAATGCTGACGACAATTAAGTGCTTGCTCAAGGCTATGATAAATGAGATAAAGTGGCTAATTTCTGAATTTGGGCATGAACTAAGTGGAAGCAAGTGGATGCAGTGTTTTTCTTAACAGTGCTCCCAGGCTCACCACAGAGGCAGTATCAACATGTCCTAAACTGTCTGTAGGAAAGACTCCAGTAAATAAACAAAGAGGTTTCGTGCAAGTCACATAAGACAACCGACACAAGGCACTTTGTCGTGCTTCTACTTGCACTAGATCTTTGGTAGAGTTCTTTAAAGATAGTATATCCCTTTTTCAGAAACACCACAGATTCAGTTTTTTACTCTCAGAAGCCATGCAAACAGGGAGGAGTATCCAAAACTGGAATCTCTGTTCAGAGATAGCTAATAGGTTAAAGCTCACTACCAACCCTAACAGGTTTGAGAACCACATTTGTCTTTGCTAGTAGGTAACTAAGATCTTCCCACTCTGATGCTTGATCAGGACCTTTGCTATAAATGGCATTAGTAAGAGTGAGTACAAAGCCTGAGCGCAGCAAAAGGAAAAGACATTTTTCCCAATACAAAGTATTGCTATTAAGCTGTATATAAACGTTAGCAGTTTTTAGTAGTTCAGTGGCCTCTCTCTAGTTGCCAAATCCTAAGGTGCTCTTTCACTATCTTTTCACTTCTTGATTCAGGGACCAGCCCATGAATCCACTACCCATAAGCTCAGTTGTCTGCAACTACCATGTTCCTAGCCATTAAAAATGTTTCATGGAACACTCATCTCCCATGCATGTCTATCACAGAATACAGGATTTTCTCCCTTCTAGTTTTATATAAACCACAGTGGTCTGGATGTCCATCTCAATCAGGGTTACTTACTTGCAGATATAAGTTTATAAGCTAGTGATCATGGCCAACCCATAAGAGAAACTCTGTATTAGACTCTTCAAACTGCCCTTATCACTAGAACCTTTGTGGACAGGTGCTGGTTTGGGAACTTGAGACCTTTACTTGGCTTCTTCAGGCTGGCAAGATGCATCTGTAGTAACAACTGGAATGAGAGAATTTTGAAAGTAGTTCCTAATTACAGATAATGCAAGACATCCAGTTCCAGCAATAACTATTCAATATTCTTGCATATGTGAGAACGTGGTTATATTTTACTGAAGAATTTTTAAAAAAAGATTATAGTACTTAGAAGTCAACATTTAAGAGATATGGAACGCTGGGGAATATGACATGTTAACTCTGGAGCCATTTAGCAGGGCCCATTCTGGCATGGTAATGCCACATGCCTGATCCAGCTTGCCAGCATATCTGAATCTGTGAGTAAAAGAGTCTGTATAACTGGATTTTTTCAGTGATTTCAATCCTGACTAAGGCAGGAAGCTCTGAGGTTCTGAGCTATATCCACACCATATAACTACATATGTATTCCCAATTTTTCTGGAGCAGACAGGCTTTAACTTTCAGTACCTCAGTGACTCCCATACAGCAAAAGATCCTTTAACTTCTTCTACGTTGCTATCCTTGATTAACCAGACACAAGGGGAAAATAACCTTCATTAATCCTCTTCCACGTACAGTATCTGAGCTAACTCTGGGAAAGAAAAATGCCATTCTGCCTTTAAAATTAGGTGTCTAATTTAAAGCCACCGAAATATTTAATCAACTGTTTTCACAGTACAATCTCTGCAGTATGGTGAATTAGAAGCAACAATACTCCTTCCTGTTAAAGATCACTGCAGTCTAGCACTAAAGTTTCTAAATCATAGCTCCTGGGGCATCAGGTGATCCCAGGATAGCTGACTGATCACACTGTACTGGCTGCTGCTTATTTCTAGCCGATAAAATACATTGCAAAACAATATCTGTTACACACTTTTCTAATATTTTTCCCTGTAAACAATTGCCAGTTACCACAGAGAGGGTTTGTGATCTTGACTAGCAACACAGATGAGTGTGGCTTTCTTGAACACAAATCCCACCCCCAAAATCCCTCCATTAAAACATGATTTATGTTGTATGCCTCTACAATGCAATGCTTCCCCCATTTGGAAACCAGAACAACTGCAGGGCAATTTTGGACTAGAGGACTCGATACACTGTTTGAGACTAGATTAGATTGTTTGTAAATTGATAGTCAATTCAATGCAAGGTTTGGGGTTTTTATTTAAGAATGAAACATGGATAGAATATGAAACACGAACTGAAAGTCAGCAAAGAAATTCATGTGATTGCTTGAGAAAACTGAAAACATTTTTTGAAAACATAGGAATACAGTGAGTACAGATTTTTGGAAACAGAATCAAGATCTTTAGAATACATGCCAGATTGTCTTGTTCATTCCATGATTGACCTCAACATGACAAGTGTAACCCACTTTCTAAATCAGTCTATAACCATGATGGAAGAACAAAAGTTGACATAACTGCTGACCACAGAACTCTGTTACACAAATAGCTTTGCTTAAAGATACAGGAAGATTTTCAGTACATGGCATCTTCTTCAGGATGCCATCAACGGATGGGCAAATATAAATAGCAAGGGGGAGGAAAAAAAATCAGGTCCATGTTTTCTTTTAACTTTACTCAGCAGAAATATAAAAGTGCAAGTTCTGTAAATTGACAACATTTACAGTACACCACAATAAATAATACATTTTTTGGTGACTTCTAAAAATTCTAGTTGTTTATTTGAAATGAGTTATTATTGAGATAAAAATCGCATCAATGTCAACAAAAAAATAAACGATCCAGTAAAGATAAAATCTTAAAATATATTAACTGGCAAGATGCATATTCCATTATTGCTATTAGACCATGCCTCCGATCTCTAAAGTATAAAAACGTATTTAGATTACGTAAAATACAATTGAGATTGTTCTCATCACAGGCACAATCTAATATAAAAATAACTTTAACATTTACAAATCAAGAGATTCTCCTATGAGGGGAAAAATACAGAAACAGACAGTTTCATTTCAGTGACAGTTCTCTGGACCCAAAGAAAACTAAAATTTGCAGAGCTGAAATGTTGTACGTATAAATAGTGAGACAAGCCTGTTTCTACACCACTGCAACGGGCCTGATGAAAAGAATAAGCCATTTGGTAAATTTACTTTCATATACACACTGCTATTCATCTGGGGTATCTGGACCCTAAACAGCCCACTACAATTGCATGCAGGTGCTGGGTGTCCTAAACAGTCTGTCCTTGTATCCTGCTTATACAGTGCATATTAAAGGAATTCTAATAATAATGTATAGTTGCTCATCTGCTACTTACCAAGTGGACCATACCCTTGATTAAAAAATAATAAAAGCATTTAGAACAAAAATTAAAATAATTCAAGTATGTTATGCCCACTTTAATCACAATCAAGTTCTACGTTATCTTCATATATACAATATAATATTTCTATCCAATACTTGTCTGAATTGACCAATTCAAGTAAAGGGTTGAACACTCAAAGCCAGAATTTTGTGACTCAATGTTACCAAATCCTTTCCAAGGAGAAACATGTTTACTATATGTAGTGTGACTAGACTACAAGCAGTGAAGTTGCATTAGAATTCAAGACTCAGTCTTTCTCCCTCTCATGGACTGCAATAATTGTGGGCCATATGATTGCTCCTAAGACTAACTTTAAGAATTCTTTGTCTAATTGAAAAACAAAGGTTATCCTAACCTTTTCTCCCTGTCTACTGAATAAAGAGCACTATTTTTCCTCTTCACACCAATCTTCCTTGAGATACAAATCCTGAAGCAACCCCATGAAGGTTAGATGCAAGCAAGATAAAAAATGTTGACATTCTATAAAGAAACAAAAATTTCAGTCTGATTTTAGAAAATGTTTAAGACCGCCTGACCAGAGAAAACACAAGCCTTTATTGCCGGTTACAGACATTAAGCCACCCCCCGCCCCAAAACAGTGTTTTACTTTAAAACTCCACGTTCCCATGCACGTGTGCAGAAGAGGCATCGCATTAGATGGACCTAGCTTGCCCAACATCTGCATAGGTTGGGTGCTTTAGTGGGGCTTTTTTGGCACTTTTATCTAATAGCTGACTAAATCAGCTATTAGATAAAAATGCCAAAAAGCCCCACTGAAGCACCCAATCTATATAGATGCTGCAGAGTCAGGTCAAACAAACAGTTTCTTCAGGTAAAAGGCTTTTTTTTTTTTCCTCCTCCCACATCTGTCAGCAGTCTATGATAGCTGCTTTCAGTCTCATCAGCTATGCAAAACAACAAAATTCACTAAAATTCTGGCCAGACTTCTATTACCAAGTAATTTAAAAAATAAAATTAACTAAGTTTTACACTGAGAGAATATATAAAAGAACTAATATTGTGGTCTTAAAGGTAAACAGAACTATAGCGTTACTGTACATTTGACCATGTTTTAAAAGTGATATGATCATGACAGATTCTTAAATTGACTGAGGTATTTAAATACTTTAATACCACAAGTTTGGAGTACCATATACGGAAGTAAAGGAAAATATACCATTTAGTATAAATAAGGGGCTTTAAAATTATGTTTAAAGGTTATTTTCTTATACCAAAAGATTTAGGAACCTGAGTGGAAAAAACAATTTGTTAAACTCTTTGTAATATCTAACAGGCAAAAACTATTCAGAATATTAAGAGAATAAATGACTTAGTAACTGAATGTCAAAGAAATAATTGGAAGAAGTGTACTAGTAGTAGATATCCTTAATATTTTCATAATTTAAAAATAAATACAGAATAGATGCATTCTAAAATTTAAACTTTATGAATCATCAAGTAATTGAAATAAGCCAATACAGATTTAACAAGCATGTTGGCTGACAATCTTACTTCTTTTGTGCCCCCTTTCTTGTTGGCTTTTAGAGAAAAAGTGCTCTCTTATTCTCAAAACTTAAAACTTACACTGATTCTTTATACAGTGTTATTATTTTAATCAAATAGGTTGTTCTCCCTAGAACGGGTACTTTAGAAAAATTTGAAGGGCTATATGATACCTGCCAGAAGTGAACCAATATTGTCGCAATAAATCAGATGAATGCTTCTTGTACGCTCACCTGCACAGTCACATCCTAATTATTTGCAGCTTGGTTTAAACAAAAACTGAGAGTTAATCCTCTTTAACTGACTTATTTTGTGTTTAATTATTAATATTATAATGTTTTATTTAGTCACAAACTCTGAATGTTTTAGGAACTCTGGCACAGGTGGTTTTCAGAAGAAAAGCTGGTCTTCCCAACATCTTTATCTCCTGCTTCATCTTAAAGTGCAGAAACCATAGGAATGGATAACGCAAGACTTCCTATTGTCACTGTGGAACCACTTCCCTCAGAGAAGCTAAGGCTGCATGTATGCGGACATGCAATCTGTTCTCAAAATCATATCCAGTGAATTCTTCCTGAAATACAAAAATACAGAGAACTATTAGCATACTCCACCTTAGACTGAGAGGCAATTTAGCACAAGATACTTAAGAGGACAATTAGCTACAAAACAGTTAGAAAGGGAGAGGGAATAGATGTCTCTGGGCTTGAAAATTGGTAACAATAAAAAATAATCTACACAGTTAAGTAAAGGAAGTCCTCAGTACAGCCTGCAAATTCAGGAACAGGCAAAAAAGACTTTCCTTTACTTTCCAATTGTTAACAGGGACCCAATCAGTGTCTATTCACAACATGTGCAATTATTAGAAAGTCAAAAAGCCCTAGAAAATCCCACCTGTAATGTATTCAATGTTTGCTTATTGCATAAACCGAAGAGTACAGGTCATGGACACCAAAACTGAGAACTGCATCAGAAGCTAGCTTTCAAATTCCCACTGCTGATGGGAAAGAAGGGTTAGGATGTTTTGGTTTTACCTTTGCTTGGAGAAGTAAGGTTTTGCCTCTTGGCACAGTCTGCAAAGAGAAAGAGGAAAAAAATGTTACTTGACAAAAATGTACCAACTAGAAAAATCCAACGATCTAGCCAGCCAGAACCAAGGACAGGAGCCTGGAAATGTCCACTGGAACATCTTACTGTAATGAATGTGTGGGGGCTCCTAAAGTACCCAAAAGGGCCTGCTGTACATTTAATTCTATTCTAAAAAGGAATTAAACTGAAGTCAGAGTATGATTACCACTAAGAGATACAACACTAAAAAGGAACATTATAGGAACAGTAACATTATATGCAAAAAGTTCACACTTAAACATGTAACTGCTTTCTTTTGAACAATTTAACTTGCAAAAATACATCAATTATTCACAGATATTTCTGCAACTGAACTTTGTTTTCTTAATTTCAGTTCATGTAATTGAACTTCTTTAGATACTGATAATTGTTTATTCTTCTTACAACTTGCCTATAACAAAATGGGGATTCATGAGAAAGATTTCAAAAAAAAAGTAAAGGAATATTTTGTTTCTGAACTGAAGAGTTAATATTCTTTCTGAGCGAAGTAAAAGTTAAATTTCTCAGGATTGCTATAAAAACTGTTTATATCTTCAGCTAATTTTTTACTACTTGTTTCTAAAGTTTCTGCTCCATTTCCTGTATATCTGCATCTGAATTTATTTTAATATTAGAACTAGAAGAAATATTATTCTATCTGATATAACGACAACATTGAGAAAGTCACCCGAATGAGTTTAATGTATCTTATTTAATTGCATCTGAATATGAACCACCTGAATGTCCAAAAATTTAACTTCTTGAAAGTTACAGCTACATCCAAAGGGGATTCAATTATACACAAAGTGAATATTATATAAAGCAGACCATTGTTTATGTATTTTTACATAACGCAATCTTTACATTTACCTTTACAATACTTTCATCTAGTTCGTATTTCCTTTGCTTACCAATGAGAATGTGGAAGACAGCATCAAAAAAGCCTTCGTAATCAAGGACATTCACTGCTCAAAACCCTTGTCTCATATTCAAGTAAATACGGTACTTGTCCCAGTGATGTGGATCATCTTTAAGAACCATAAATAACCAATCTTTATAGATTTTGTTTAAAAAAGAAAAAAGAATCCACAAGTCACCCTTGGGCATAGAAGGAAAGAATCAAGTCTCTTAAAATAGTGGGGCAAAGCTATAGTTAAAATTTTAATTTTTAAAATAAAAAGCATGCCTGTTTAAATGTTTCAATTTGAAGATGACATTTTTACATATTAGATCAGATAGTATTTCAACTGAATCGTCTTTAATTATTTTTAAGTGCTTGTCTGCAGTAGCTTCTTTGAGCAGTTCCTAGAGCAGTGGAAGAACAGTTTAGGGGTTATTTAGAGAAGCTGGATGTTTTTCTGAAGTCAGCAATGCCAAATACGATGCATCCTAGAATAGTGGAATTGGTCGAGATAATCACAGGACCATTGGCTATCACTGTTGAGAACTCATGAATGTTGGGTGAGGTCTTAAATATTGAAAAGTTGGTAAAGGGAAGAAGGAGAATCTGGGGAATTAAAGACCAGTCAGTCTGACCTTAATACCAGGAAAGATCATGGAGCAGGTCATCAAGGAATCTATTTCTAAGCACCTGGAGGAGGGCAAGGTGATCAGGAACGACCACTGGCATGGATTCATCAAGAGCAGGTCACACATGACTGGCTTAATTTCTATGACTAGGTGACAGGCTCTAACTCTGTTTCCCCCTTTCTCCCTCTTGCAAGGTCTCTTCAGACATTTCTGTCTCACCCCCATCTTCTCCCTCACTGTCCCCTTCCAATTCTGGCTGCTCCTCAGCGGGTCCGACCTTGTTTGCAAAGACCATTGGACACCTGTGGAACAAGTGTCTCTCCCCCCCCACAGGTAACACATTTTAGGGGTTCCTGGTACTCTGCTGCTCTGTGCCCCTTCCCCTCACTCCTGAAGTACATTATGTGAGGGCAGCATGCAGACAGGAGCCCTTCCTTGTCACATCTGCTAAACTGTTTAGCTTGTCCGTGGCATATTATAAAACATCAGCATGCGCCTAGCTGGATTACAGGTGGAAGGTGTTTCACTCCACATGAGCTCCACTCGTTTGCTTGTAACACTACTCGTGCCCTCCACAACCCTATCCAAATACCAGATTTGTCCCTCCACACTCCTTACTCTTTGAACATGCAATTCCAACCACCTTTTTATGTCTTCTTCCACAAATAAATCTGTATACATTCATCCTATAATCACTCGCTCCCTTTTTCTTGTGCCATAAACCTTTTCCTTCTTAATTCCTCCCTCCCACATTCCTCTGCATGTTTATTTAAAAAAATGGTCATACCCATCTCCAATCCAGTGCGTGATTTGCCAAGACTTTTTTTGGAAGAGCAATTAAGCTGGTCAGGTGCTCAGGCTGCACCTTCAGTATCTCAGATAGTAGCTTTCCCAAAAAGGCATCCATTTAATGCTGATCCCTTCTACATTCTGCCACTGACTCCAATTCTCCCTTCTCAGTCTCCAATCCTCCCTGCAATTTCTCATCATGTTTTCCATGTCTTCCATGGGCCTGCCGCACCATTCCCAGCAGGCAGGCATTTTGCCATATTCCTGTCCTCCTCTCTCTCACTTGATGTACCTTCTCCTGCTGCTCCTACTGTCACCAGCTCTCCTCTGCTCCCATCTTCCTCTCATTGCCTCCTTTTTTGCCATCACTACTGCTGGTGTTGATGCTCCCACCATCACATTATTTTGTGCCTGCTTCCCCACCTTTGTCCACTGTCCATCTGTCTCCATACCTTCATTTCCACTTTTCAAATCTTTTCCCACCTAATTCAACTACTGGCACTGGTTTGAACTTTGGGTCTCCCTTCCTACACTCCTTACACCCCAACGCTCTGTCAATCTCCTTCTCTGCCTTTAAGGCAGTGATCAGGCTTTTCATGCTCATAGGAACCTTTTTTTTTGTTGTGTGTAGCCCTTAAAAAAAAAATAAAAAAAAAAAATGAAAAAAGCCCCCAAAAAAACCAACCAAAACAGGTAGTTGTTCCCCCAGAAGGGAATGAGAACCAAGTCTGGAGGTACTGCAGTACCAGGCCAACACTTGGAGAGGCCAGAGCAAGTTCCAACACTCTCCCATACTGCCAAAATGATGGGAACCTACCACAAAGACAGGTTAGTGAAGCCCATCTGAATAAGGTAGTATGCTCAATCTCCCTCAGTACCAACTCTTTTTCAAGTCACAGTGAACCATTCTGTCAGATACATTTTGATTTCTTTACTCCCACAGCTGAACAGTGCCCTCCTGTACCATTTCCACTGATTTCTGTTCCTTCATGAGCCTTAAATGTCTGGCAAATATCACCAGACTCCTGTGTAGCTGAGAGGCTCTGGCACCTGCTCTCCCAGCCTGTTGCATGCGATTAATGTGGCCCCACTCTCTATGGAGTGGAGACATACTAGGGAGCCCTACACCTCACTTCCAGATACATTTTTTGGAGGGTCTCAGGACTTGTAACAAGAACAGCTGGTTCTAGATGCAAGTGAGGGGGTTAATTAGCACGTGGATCCTTTGTGAGGGGGTATGCACACATATTGAGCAGTGCTGGGCTGTGGGGTTACTATGGCTGGAAATGCTGTGGACTCTACTGGGGCCCAGCCCAATAAACAATATAAGTCATGAGCCTTTTGGCTCTAGGCTATTATCATGTAGTTTGTACTATGTATAAATAGATTTTAAAAAGTAGTGCTCAAAAGTGCATGTTTCAGTACAGGTACTCGATAAATACACCAGTCAGGGCTGGGGCCAAAGTCAGAGCCACAGCAGTCTCTTGTTCTCTTCTGCAGTTTCTTACCTCCTGTCTCATCCCTCCCCCCACTGCCAACTTAATGTCACATGCAGCTAACTTCCACATTATGCCTGGAGAGAGAACAGAGCCTGAGCAGGGTCTGACAACAAGGACAGCAAGAAGGCTGTAGGGGAAAAGGAGTTGGGAGATAGAGAGCAAGAGGTTATCTGCCCTCCCATCATTGTCCCTGTTATAGTAGTGGGAGGGGATGAATTCAAGAAAACACTCTGATAATTAGATTCTACAACTGGAAAATTATAACAAATTTATAATTTTTCCCATATATAGAATCTAATTATTGGGGGGTCAACTTGTTTTCAGAATCATCTTGTATTTGAGTAAATGGTATAACCCTAGCTTGTGAACTTCTAGAAAAGAAGAGCCAACACACCACATGCCCAGGTTTGATGCTATGAAATGGGGGGCAGTCACAGAATCATAGAATCAGTGAGTCGGAAGGGACCTAGACAGATCATCGAGTCCAACCCCCTGCCATGGGCAGGAAGGAGCACTGGGGTGGGAGGGGTCATAAGACCCCAGCCAGGTGCCTATCCAGT